TGACCCACTCTGTCTTCCCCCATTTATGCAATATCACTCGGCTCCGCCACTGTCTTACACCGCAAGTCGCCGAAATTCTCATACCTGCATTCATAACATCCAGGCTCAACTCTGCAAACTCCTCACTTATCAGCCTCCTCACCTCCTCTCTCCATAGGCTGCAAATCATCCAGAACTCTGAAGCCCGTGTCCTCTCCCACACCAGGCTCCGTGACCTTATTACCCGCATACTTGCCCGACTCCACTGGCTTCCCATCACACAGAGGATACAGTTCAAGATCCTGGTCCTCACCTTCAAAGTCCTCCACGTCTTGCTCCCCCTACCTCCGCGACCTTCTAACCCCCTACCAACTTGCCTACTCCCTCCGCTCAGCAGGCTCTGTCCTGCTTCACATCCTCCGCCTCACTCGCCCCACCATTGGCGGGCGGGTCTTTTGCCACTCTGTCCCCAACCTCTGGAACTTCATCCCGCAGTCCCTCTGCCTCACTCCTTCCTTGCCTCCTTCAAGACCCATCTCCAGACCATCCTCTTCGACCATGCCTTCGGTCACTCTCCTTCCACCCACCCCCCCACCCCTGCCTTCCACCTTCCCCAATCCCAACCCCCGGCTCGGGTTCAAAACACTGGCTGTCCAGCAACTTGGGATGTCCTACTGACGTGAAAGGTGCTATATAAATGTAATTTTGCTGTTAATGAAGGAACAAAGTTAAGTTAAAAGATTCTGCAAGCACAGATGATGAAGGCAATTAGTCCAGTTCTGCTTTTAAAAGGTGTCAGTAAGTGCTTAGATCAAGCAGCATGATTCCATGCAAAATGATTGAGTCAGAGCGTGCCAGCAACTATGTTTTGGAACTGCAGAGGTAAATCAATGACTTCATTCACCAGTAAATTCCAGAGATGCCAAGTTTTAACAATCCATCAGATTCATTTTTAAAAAAAAATGATTTGACATCTAGATGCTCAAAATACCAATTTGTGCGCGAGAAACATTAGGTATACTTTTCGTTTCCTTTGTGGAAAGCAGTTACTTTGTAGATCTTGTGAAGAGTAATACATTTTTGTTACACATCTATACAGGGCCAGTACTATTTGCTTTTATTTTTGTTTATATCAAATATATAGCAATACTTGATGCAGATGCATCAAATCCTAGTTGGCTAAAATAATTCATCAGTCCAGTCTACAGAACTCAATGAATACCAACAATCTTCTCTTTTGCTCAATGAACCAATGAAGTTTCTTTTAAAAAGAACTCAGAAGAGTTCCACTCAGGTAATGTTTCCTTATATACACCAGTGAAGAATGGCAAAATTCACCCAAAAGGGGAAGTGTGAATGCAATTGTCTGTGAAGACTGAGATTCAAACTTCGGCTCTTTGTTAGCCTTGGAGAGTGACGAGGGCAGTAATTCTCAATTTTTTTNGGGTTGGCCTCAGTGTTCAGCAACAACGCTTACTGGTGACCGCGGTGTGACTTCTCAGAATTTGTGTTACATCCTCCTTTCTTGAGCCAGCTGACGCACAGCCTCCCTGCTTGTCGGCCTCCTCAACTCCTCCCACCATAGGCTGCAGATCATTCAGAACTCTGCAGCCTATGTCTTCTCGCGCACTAGGCTCCGTGACCCTATCAGCCCCATCCTTGCCAGACTCCACTGGCTTCCCATCACACAGAAGATACAGTTCAAGATCCTGGTCCTCAACTTCAAAGCCCTTCATGGCCTTGCTCCTACCTACCTCTGCGACCTGCTAACCCCCTGCACTCTCCGTTCAGCAGGCTCCGACCACTCTGTTTCCACCCTCTGAAACTTCATCCCGCAGTCCCTCTGTCTCTCCCCCTCCCTTGCCTCTTTCAAGACCCGTCTCAAGACCCCCCTCTTCGACTGTGCCTTTGAGAACCCTCTTTTCCCCTTGCCCTCCACCCTACCCAATCCCAACCCCCAGCTCGGGTCTGAAACACTGATTATCCAGCGCCTTGGGACGTCCTCCCAACATGAAAGGTGCTGTACAAATGTAATTTTGTTGTTGTTGTATTGAGCGGTATGGTGAAACGGCAGGCTATTGGAATTCAAGTATTTGACAAGATCTAATAAACTACTGAATCAGGCTCAATAGGCTGAATGGCCTCTTCCTTCTCCTATTATTCCTCTTCCAATTTGAGAAGCAGTCCAATTAAGCACTGGACCAATCCATGCAGCCTTACAACCAGATTAGACTCATAAACTCTCAACTCATGACATAATGTCACAGACAAACAAATTTCCGGTTATGAAAGGTCATTGGGAAATTTCAATACATTACTGTAATTATGTACGAGAATGATCTTTTGAATACATTTCTAGATGGTTTCAATGTATCAAATATGTGTAAAAAGATCATTTTCAATTAATTCCACAAAATAACCCAAGATTAGTGACTTTTTCTAAACCTTTTGTTTTATTTGGGATTTTATTGCTCCATTTTCTCTCTGCTGCTACACCCATATTTACAACAATGACAGAAAAGTTAATCTTATCGATATCTCTACACATTTGTTTGATTTACTAAAAGACAAACTTGTGGAATAAGACTCTTCAACACAAAAATCTGTCGAAACTGCATTCAAGCTTTGAATTCAATTTTCTTCCTGTCAACTGGGTGTCTGATACATGCAGGAACCCATCGCCATGCTTAAGAGTATCCAAATTAAGCTGAGAATTTCATGTATCCTACCTACACATGGAAACTCCAGAGGTAGATTGTTGGAATGGAATGCGCACTCTATTCCTAGAGGGACTCATCCTGCTTACCGAATTCAAGAAAGTGTTAGGAGCAGGCAGCCCAAGGCTAGGGAACCCCAGAGTACCTTGATACTTAAATCAGATGGGATACTGCTGGAGCCTAACCAGCAGTCAACATACAATCCATCCATAGTTGTATGATTATCATTAAAAATGCAGGTGGTAACGGTGGCTAATCATACCAACATACCAAAGTTGCTATCTCTACTTTTAATTCTTAATGCAATTGTCACTAATATGTGATTTATCCCTAAATTATGATCATTTCAGTTTTGCAGATTGTCGAAGGCATGAAAACTCATCTTCAATTGAAGTTAGTGTTGTATAATACTGCAGAGATACATTTGGTTACATGATATTTCCTGTCTGATTGGTTTGCTGCTTGATATACAGAGTATGTTCATACCACAACTTCCGTATAGACAACCAAATACTTCAGTAAAATTCCACTAGATTTAGGGATTATGGATCTTCTGATTTAAGTATTAAGGTACTCAATGGGCCTAACTACATTGCAAATTGACCAAGGATCATAGAAACGTAGGAAGCACATCCATCAACTTGATCACACCAATATAAAATTAGTTACTAATTAATTGTTGCCACATACTTCTTCAATTGACTAATTGAATCATCTTTGTCATGTCTCCATTTACCAGACTTAATATGAAGATATTGTCTTAATATCTTCCTTATCGTCGAATGTGACTAGATCAACTGACTTGCAGAATGAACCTGTGGAACAGGCTCCCCATGAAGACGGTTGAAGCACGAAGCGTTGATTCTTTCAAACACAAATTAGATAGTTTTCGTTCAGGAAATAACATTATGGGATATCGTACATAGGTAGTTTAGGACATATGTGCACGTGACCACCAGGAAGACGGAATGCGAACTCGATGGACCTTTGTCTTTTTTCGTCCAGCATTTCTTACATCCTCATGTTAACTTAGCTTCATCTGTACTTTCCTTCCGACTTGATGAACTCAAACCCGGCTAACGTTGCCTTACCTTGATTGATCTCTTGAGAATGTCTTGAATTTGACTGGTAACTTTTTGACCAATTCGACGTCATCTGAGAATAGCCTCTTCCCACGTTCATTCTTCCCCGGCCAACATTTAACTCTTCGTAAGTATCGGGAACCAGCACTGGGTTGAGCGCTCAGTTATAGCCTTCCCTCCGATGGCTTGTCAGATGGTTCCAGTCAATGCCAATGCTGAGGCAAAATATTCCATCGATTAATTATAAGTGGGACCTCAAGTTATTTTTTCTGTGATTGCATCAATGAGCAGTTCCCGCCCCCAACATGGGCTGTCCTTTGCCATTGGAGAGCACGTGAAAGGGCTTCGCCAATGGATGGGCGGCAACAGGTTGACCCACCCCTTTCCATGCAAAGCGGGTCAAGCGTGACACCTCCTCACGTGGTTCTCGACTCTCGCCGACGTCATCCGGCCCCGCCCCCGCTTCCAGCGAACGTCCCCCTTGACGTGCGCTCACCCGTTCTCGCGAGATTGACGATTAAAAAAAAAAGGAGCGCGAGTCATACAAGACCTCTCCCAACTGTCCCGACACCCGAAGGTGTGGGCGGGGCAAGGGCTGGGGGTGGGCGGGGCTTGGTCCGGGAGAGGGAGGGGCGATGAGGAGGGAGGGGCGATGACGGGGGGGGGAGAGGCGAGGGTGTATTTCCTTTTCCCCCCCCATTTTCTTTTTGGTGGGTGGGGCGCGCGGGGGGGGGTGTGGGTAGGAGTGGGGCGGAGGTTGCAAAGAGATTTCAAGCGGGAAATAACAGGGACCAGGCCCGGTCCCACGTATGCCGACGCTTTCTCTCTTCCCATTGGTCCATTCGTAGTCATGCAAATGAGGGGCCGCACGTCACTTCCGGGTGATATCGGGCGCCATTTTGTCGGTGAGGCTGCGGTTCCTGAGGAGCTGGTTGTCAGAGCCCTACACTGGAGAGTAAGTTATTATATGGAGAATAACCGTCATTTTTTTGGGGTTGGGGGAGAAGGGGGCGGAGGGGGGGAAACAATATTATTTTTCTATTTTTTTTAGCACTTCCTTTTTTTTAAAAAAAACAAATACACATGTGCACGTCTGGAAACGAAGAAAGCAAAACTAATTCCCCACTATTTCACCCGATGTAAATATTTGGCCCCTCGTCTCTCCCTCTCTCCCTCCTTCCTGCGAAAGTCGAGGAAGAAGAGCTGAAAGTTTGGAAGGTGGTGGTGGGGGGTGACACCAGGTGAGCGTTGTGTATTTGTGTTTGAATTGGCGCCTGTTGTTTTGAGTGTCAGGGAGGGCGGGGAAGGATCCAGCAGTTCCTTCCTTGTGTGTCTGAGTGACTCACTCGGTGAGGAGCAGAGCAGCCACTGGTGCTCCAGGGCAAACCCCCTCCCCTCCCCTCCCCTCCCTCACTCCTTCCTCCAGGACATCCCTCCCTACCCGTTTCTGTACTCAGCGAACCAAACTCACTTGACTCTCACATTACCCCTCCCATCTCTTCTCCTCCCCCAACCCCTCGAAAAAGTCATCGTCTCTCGAGGTGAGAGCGTGTACACACGCTGTTCGACTTCAAATGAAGGACACCAGCGTGAGAGGAAGGAGGGAAGATGTAGCAGACAGGCTGAGGGATCTAGTTAATAACCTCGTAGTATCCTATCTCTCTTCCCTGACGCAGACAGGTGAGAGGTTTATCTGAGGCAAGGACCCGAGTCTCCCATGTGACAGGGCGCCTCCGTACAGCTCACACCTGCAAGCTTTGAAAGAGGAAGGGGAGATCCTGCCGTCTACATCTCGGGGGATGGGTTTCTGAGACACCTCCTGCAGCCCACACCTGGGCAGGTGGTATCTCAGACACCTCATGCAGCCCACACCTGGGCAGGTGGTATCTGAGACACCTCATGCAGTCTACACCTGGGCAGATGGTATCTCAGACACCTCATGCAGTCTACACCTGGGCAGGTGGTATCTCAGACACCCCCTGCAGCCCACACCTGGGAGGGGTATATGAGACACCCCCCTGCAGCCCACACCTGGGAGGGGTATATGAGACACCCCCCTGCAGCCCACACCTGGGAGGGATATATGAGACACCCCCCTGCAGCCCATACCTGGGAGGGGTATATGAGACACCCCCCTGCAGCCCATACCTGGGAGGGGTATATGAGACACCCCCTGCAGCCCATACCTGGGGAAGAGGGTATAAGAGACAACCCCCTGTAGCCTACATCTGGGAAGGAGTACCTCACATCGGGTGGGGTCGGCAGAGCGCCGCCTGCTGCTCACAGGCAGATCAAACTCTTTACGCCGCTTCAGCTGCTCGTTGGCCAGTGAGCAGACCAGACAGGACGGGAGTTATCTGGCGCATGAAAACAACCAGCCCGGTATGTCCTGTGCTGCGTCTGTGAGAGCCCAGCCGACGAGTCATGTGCGCTAAGGCACGTAGGAAGGCGGATTATTGCGTTAAAACGGTGGCTTTTTTTTAAAAAAAGAAAGTGAAATTGCCGTCGGCGTGCACATTATTTGTTTAATAAATCATTCCGGTCAAATTTGCAACTCGCGCTTTTTTGGGGGGAAACCATTGCAGCTTTAAAGTATTTACGTGTAAATCACGAGTTTAATTAAATCTGCAGAGAAGCTGAACTATATCTTTGTGGGCTGTATCTACTGCAAGCAAAATGGTATTGATTGTATTCGGCGTTTCCATACACTTTATTCTGGTTCAGTGATTCGCGTTGTGAGTTCTGCACATTTTCACAAAGAGGAAGCGACAGAAATGACACTGACAGTGTAATCCACTCAGGGTGGGATCTCTTTCAAAACAAAGGCGCAAGTGGCCATGGATAGGTGTAGATAGAGTTCCTGAGGTACTTTGAGCTGAAATGATTTGTGATTTTTCCCTTTCCGTGTCACGGGTAGTTCTTGCGGGTTAGGCATATTTATTATTATTATATTGCAAAAACTGCAGTCAGATTTTTTTGCAATGTTCTGCAGTTCTCCACTCAAAGTGGATCCAATCAACAACAACTTGCATTTATATATAGAGCTTTTCACGCCAGATGGCGTCTCGGAGTGCTTAACAGTGGCGGAGCTCAATGCCAAGTCAGTGGGGTAGGGAGAAGCTGACCATAGGCACAGTCTAAGGGTAAGGTCTTTAAGCGCGACCTGGGATCTGGGGGACAAGAGCTGGAGCCAGTCTAGCGGTGGCAGCGGGTAGTAGTGTAGGGAGAGAGCAGGTTGGAGAAATAAGGAGGTGCCAGGGCGGGAAGGGATTTAAATACAAGAGTGAGGATCTTGAAATTGATTTGCTCTGTGACAGGGAGCCAATTGATTTTGACAAGGACTGAGGTAATGGCGGTACGGAGTTTAGTGCGGGTGAGAATGTGGGCAACAAGCTTTGAATTCATTTAAATTTGTGTATAGTGGCGCAGGGGAACCGCCGAAGGGGGTGTTTGAGTAGTCCAGGCGGGAGGTGACGAAGGTGTGGACGAGGGTTTTGGGAGCTTTTGGAGTGAGGTATGGAAGGAGGAGGGAAATGTGGTGGAGGAAAGCTGTTCTGGTAAGGATCTGGATGTGGGGTATAAAGGATAGCTGGCGATCAAATCTGTTGCCTAAATTGTGCATGAGTTTGGTGAGTTTTAGGGAGAGATCAGATAGATTGAGGAGGTCTGAACTGCAGGAGAGAAGACGTTGATGGGAGACAAAGAGTATGGCTTCCATCTTTTCAATGTTCAGCTGCAGGAAGTTTGCGCTCATCCAGGCCTTGATGGCTGTCAGACAAGCTGACAGAATATCAGCGGACTGGGAGTTGCAGCTGGAGGAGGAGAAGTAGATCTGTGTGTCGTGTGAACGCTTATCTCGTGTCTGCAGATGACGTCCCCGAGAGGGAGAATGTAGATGAGGAAAAGAAGGGGGCCAAGGGTGGAACTTTGGGGTACCTTGTAAATGACTGGGGGTGGGGTGAGAGGAAAAAACATTGGCTGAGATGAAGTGCTTGTGATTGGTTAAGTAGGACTTGAACCATTCACTAAGGTGGATGAGGGAGCAGAGGCAGTGGATGGCTTGGTCCATTGTCGAATGCAGCTGAGAGGTCCAGGAGGATGAGGAGGCAGAGGGAGCCCTGGTCACCGAGAGAGGACATCATTTTTTGATGAGTGCTGTCTCTGTACTGTGGGCTGGGCGGAAACCGGACTGGAGGGGTTAGAGTAGGGAGTGGAGGCCGAGGTGTGAGTGAAATTGGTTTGCAATAATGGGTTCCAGGAACGGTAGGTTTGAAATGGGACATTAGTGCATTAGGTTGAATGGATTAAAAGTGGCTGTTTAAAGAAGGGGATTGAGCCTGAGTAGAGGGACTGATTTATGGTGTCTGCCAGCAGTGGGCAGAGGAAGGGGAGTTGAGCGACGAGCAGTTGCATGGAGAGTGGGTTGAGGAGGCAGGTGGTGGGTTTCATCAGGGTGGTGGAGAAAGAGATGGGGGCAAAGGAGTGTAGATTGGGGCTCGTGGTAGGAACCGTGGGAGGAGGAGTGGATGATGAAGAAGGAATGGGGTGGTGGGGTGGGACGTGGGGCAGGAGGAGGAGGCGTCGATTGGTTTAATTGCTTTTTAAGAAAAATAAATGTATATTTAGTGTTGGTATCAGAGAATGTACGACTCTAAATTGCCCTGCACCCCTCCAAAACCCAGCTCAGGTGCAAACCCTTCACTGCCCAGGCTTTGGGGCGTCCTCCCAACATGAAAATGCAGTTTGTTGTTATTGTTGTTGAATGGTTTAACCATCGTTTAATTGCGCTGTGAAACTGAATTGAACCAAATCGACTACAAGTGAGAGCTGTTTCTCTTTTTTAAAAAAAAACGTTTTACTTGCTGCTGAACTGAAATGATCGTCGGGTAAACTTGAAATCCCGGAATGTTTACTTTATCGTTGTGTATTAATAATCTACTGTCTTTACCGGTGGCCGTGGCAACTATAGCAAGCGATTCACAGGGTTTCTACGGTTTGGATACCTTATAATAATAATAATAATCCTTGCATTTGATATAGAGCTTTTCACGTCTTCTCGACGTCTCAAAGCGCTTCACAGAATAGACTGTAAAGTGAATTGACTGTATATTTTCCATTTATCTTTATACCTTTACATTTATTTGCATCGGTTTGGGAGGCAAAATATTTAGGCAATTAATAGGTCACAGCGATATTTTGCTGTGACACTTTTGGTGCTTAAGCGAATATGTGGCTTAGTTACACTGGTGGCAAACCCCTTTCGAGTACCAAGAAACCTATATCTTCCAACAGATCTGTTCATATGATTTTTATTTCACCATGTGATCCACATAATCCATTGAATATTCCTAAAAATAAGAATTTTAATTGAGAATTCATAACTAAAGCCTGAGAATTAGCGACCTCTGTTTAGAAGGACATACACACTTTATACCACAGAAGGCCATTTTGGCTGATCATTGACCATCCTGGCTCTTTTTTAAAGAGCAGTGCCTTCAGTCCAATTTGGCTGCCTTTTCCCCACCTTTGGAAGATGGAACATAACCAAACATAAAGAGGCAATCTGCCATACTCAACCTGATCCTTCCAATGGGTCATGAACTGTTTGTAATAATAATAAGTTATAAACTTTACATTTGATATGGTGCCTTTCACATCGGTAAGATGTCCCAAAGCGCTTTACAGGCTAATCTGCGAGTGTAGTGACTCTCTATTTTGCAGGAAAGTGTGTATATGGAATTTCATGAGGCAAGGAAACATAGCCTGGGTAAAATCTTAAATGTTTTCCTGGCAACAGTTGAACTGAAATACTAGAGACATTGGAATAATGGGGTCTATTTAGCAGTCCATTCGATGTTTACCTCGTCCAAAGGCCTGGATGCACACGTCATGGGCAATAGCACTCCCAGCAAGCAATAGCACTTCCAACAATAGAACATTAACATTGTTTGGACCGGAGCACAGCCAATTTCAGTTATGCATCTTCAGTTATTAAAAGACATTAGTCAATTGGACTGCTCAAGACTTTTGGGGGACTATTTGGGAATGAAGCCAGAATTGAACTGCTTTGTACTGCAATGATGCAAATCAAACTGTTGCCAAAGTCACCCCTTCAATATGGTCTTGGGTAGTGGGACTCTAGCACAGCATAAACACAGCAGAAGATAATTGTGAACAACTTGAAAAATTCAATAAATTCGTTCAAAGCAGCTTATTTTGATACACAAGGCTTGTGGTGATCAGAATAATAGAAGATGCAATTAGCCTGTGCCTTACAGAAGACCATCTTTTAAAGAAGGCTGCAGTCAAGGAAGGTACAGTATAAATGTGTACCATCCTTGGCTGTAGCCTTCAATGAACATCAGTGAGCTAAGCAACTATTGTTAAAATGCTGATAGATTTATAACCAACTTAACTCCATAGTTTAAAAGGAAAATTTTTGATTGAATCTTAATTTCAAAATTTACAAGCCATCACACCTGATGAGATCCTCATTACTTCATTCCATGGCATTTTTACACAGAAAATTGCTTTTTTTTTAACCAGGTTGTTCCCTAAAGGGATTTTTTNGCTTGTCAGCACTTATTGTGCACCATTAGGACTTATGCCACACCCCTTGCTCTCGACCCCTGTTGATTCCAACCCCTAACTTGGGTAGAAACCCTTTACTGTCCAGGCCTTGGGACTTCCACCCAATGTAAAAGGCACGATATGAAGCAAGTGAGAGGACCTGGGTTTGATTCCCGGGCAAAACTTTAGGCAAATTTCCTACTCCATACGCCTCTGTTTAACTAGCAGTAAGTAGGAACCCGGTTGTTAGTCAATTGGCAGATCGCTTTCTGGGTGTATTAATTCCTTCCAAAATAAAATAATTGGTCACTCAATCCACAACTGTTTGTGGGACACAGCTGGGTGCAATTGGCTGCCACGTTTCGCCAGCAAAATATACAATCAATTCATTTTAAAGTATATTCTGTAAAGTGCTTTGCAACGTCTCAACGACGTGATAAGGTGCTGTATCAAATGCAAGGATTATTACTATATCATTAAATGCAATTTGTTGTTGGAGGAGAGAGCAACCTGACCTGGAAACAAATCTCAATTTTCCCAATTCAGTTCCTTGCATTTGCTTGTCAGGCGCTTTGACAAGCAACGTAACAGGAGATGTATAACTGTATACTATATTTGGTAATGATTTAATAGAATTGTAATTGTAAGAATTTCGGGAGGACTTTTCGCACGTTCATATAACTAGGGCTTAGAATCTTATCTTGATTGGTGAGGCAGATACTGCTCAAGCTCTGCGCCTCCAACTGTTGGAGTCACCGTTCAATGTGTCCAAGCTGTGGACACGAAGATAGTGGCAATGCTTTTACGCATTTCATGCTAAGCTGCTCACCAGGAAGCTCACAAGGAGTTCCTGGCACCTGCTGTCCACCTAGTGGTGGCTCAAACCTGCTTTTGTCAGATGTCAAGTGACCAACTAGTGACTATTCTCAAGGTGGGGGGGGTGTGGGAGGAGGAGGGTAGCCTTGCAGGTGACCTGGCTCTCTGGTGACATACTTGGCAATGGAGTGTTGAAATCAAGGCAACAGCTTATTTCTTATTAAACAGTCTGTTTCTTGAAATTACTTCCAACAGGCAGGTCTGCAGAATTCTTTGGCACTGCTGATAGCAGACCAGTTAGCCCGGATCATTGGTAGGAATTGGAGGGGAGTACTTGTCACTGAGAGTAGGGTTCTTCCCACTCAATTCTTGTTAACCCTCCAAGCCAAAACCCTAATGAATACGTGTCAGATGCCCAGCTGACCAAAAACAACTCGTTGTGTTGTGCACTCAATGGTTCTTTCCACTGATGGTAAGCCTAGTACTGTATTGCTACCACAGCAATGACTATTACATGTTTAAATCTCGGTTGATATTCATCTCTGACTGCATACACTTTGTTGGCATGTGCTGCAATGCTCTTGTTTTAGTGGTTTTACCAATCTGATTCAGTTTGTAGGGGAAAATACTGGCTCAAAGGTAACTAATCATCTCTTGATAGCACAAGTAAACCATTTACAATTTTGGGACTGCAAATGTTTCACTGACTGTGGGTTGCACAGCCTACAACATAATAGTCACATGGTTTATAGATAGAAGTAAGTGCAAAAGTAGTTAAATCTTGAATTTGAAACTTTATTGGCTAGCATCATCTGAAGTCACATCAAAGCTGTCTATAATGTTGGACTAAAATCTGAACATGAGCTAAGGCAGGGTTGACAATTAAGATCTTGTATGTACAACCCAGATTTCCTTCAGGAGTTTCTGCAGCAGTATATACAAGTACAATTAATCTCAGTGCATCATAAATGAACCTTTAAAATTCTGGGTGGAAATATTCATGTTTAAAAGTCTCAAGTGTTTTAGAAAGCAAGAAATGTGTATTGGTAGCATGCAATTAAAATTGGATATTTCTTTTATATCAGAAATGTGACCCAAGTGAATATAGCAATTTCTTTTTATTGCCCTCCCCAAAGATGAGTCAGAATATTTGGGGAAAGGAATTTTGAGCATGTAACTTGTTAATATTATGGGTTCAATTCCTATGTTGGGAACTTCAAACTTATGGTCTAGGCTGACACTCCAGGGCAGTGTTGGGAAGCACTGCATTATCCTTTGGATGAGATGTTAAACTTGTGGAGTCCTGTAGCTCAGTGGTTAGAGCACTCACTTTGCAAGCAAGAGACCTGAGTTCAATTCCAGGCAGGTCAGGGCGAAACCTTGGGCAAGTTTCCTTACTCCACACACAGCCCTAATAATAATCCCTTCAAAAACCAAAAAAACAATAATAAATTGGTCATTTTCAATCTACGACTGTTTGTGGGACATTGCTGTGCGCAATTGGCTGCCGCGTTCGCCCACAAATATACAGTCAATTATCTTTACAGTGTGTTCTGTGAAGCGCTTTGGGACGTCCTCCCGACGTGAAAAGCGCTATATCAAATGCAAGGATTATTATTATTATCTGCCTGTTCAGGTGGAGGTTATAGAATCCATGGAAAGATAATTGAGTTTATCCCAGTGTCCTGGCCAACATCTTCCAATTAAATTGGTCATTCACCACCTGGCTGTTTGTGGGACATTACTGGGCACAAAATGACTGCTGCATTCACTTAGAAATAGTCAATACACTTGAGATGAAATTAATCACAAAATTGTAAATACCATAAAGCTCTGAGGCATTTTGAGGTGATAAGGCACTACAAGGATTGTTTACCAAGCTTGCTATTGCTATCTTGAAATTGTTTAAATTAAATATGTTCTGCTACAATATTGTCAGATTGGGTGGGGAAAATAATAGGGTGTTTGTGTACTTTTTAAAAAAAAGACTTGTTTGTATAACATGATGAATATTACATGGAGTTATCTGGGGTTGGTGGTGACCTAGGCTGAATGAATATAATTAAGTTTCATTATCTTTTATTAAGTGAGATTGAAAGAATGAAACAATATTTTTCCCTTAAGATAAATAACACTTGAGATGAAGTCTATGATGCAGAGAGATTTTTGACGGCATTAGAGGGAGTCTTCTGGAATTTATGGCCCAAATAGTGGTCTCTCGTTACGTTTTATTATGTTCTTATGAATCTGAGATGATTACTAATTCTAGAATTCTGTGTCTAAAATGGATCAACCTAAATTAAGTATGTTTTGGTTTGACTAACCCTAATGGAGTGCAGATTATATTATATGATTTACATTCCTATAGCACATTTCAGGTCAGGAGGACTTCCCAAAGCACTTCACAGTCCTGGATGGGCACTCAAATTGGAGGGTGGGAGCTGAGCATTTGGGGAGGGGAAAGATGACTAAAAGTGCAGTCAAGGGGAGATGTGTTTGAGACGTTTCTTGAAAGAGGGGAGGGAATAAGTTGGAGGGACTCTGTGATTGAATTCCATAGAACGGGGCGGATTGGCTGAAAGCCTCTCAGTGATTGAGGGTGCAAGTGCACGGCATGTGGCAGGCCCGTGCTCTGTGGCTTAGGCAATAGGGTTGAAGGAGATGGTAAAGGTAGATAGGATAGGGCAAAGTTGTGGAAGGAATTAAAGGTGAGAACAAAGATCTTATTACTGAGAAATGCAAAAGGATTGTGTTCATTTAACACACGTGATTGTGTTGGCGATGGAACTGTTCACTTCTGACAGCTTTTTCCGCCTCAAACAGAATGAATTTGCTCTCTTCACTGCCATAGCAACATACTTTAAAATCAACATTGGAAAGCAATTTCTGCTGTTCAATGTAAACATTTCTATTTCCCATGAAGTCATTTTTGTAAGTTTGTCAAAGATGGGTAGTTTTGTGCTGTATGAACCAGGTCATTATTATTCACTTCAGATAAAACAACAGTACTTTAACCTATTCCAGTCTGGTCCAACTGGTGGCCCATGGGCCGCATGCGGCCCACAAACCATTTCCAACTTCGTTGTCTGACGAGCAAATGCAAGTAACACTTAGGCCCCGAGCCAATCAAGAGAGGGTCACCAAGGGCTCAAGCTCTGCATGGCAATGGGACTGGCCAATCAGAATAAAATATTGCTTATGCAGCCCATGGACGTTTCCAAAATATGGCATCTGGTCCTAAGCAGCCAAAAGGTTGGACCACCCTGACCTATTCCATCGCGCATAGGTTTCTTCTGTATGTTGACTAATATGTCTTCATATATAGATGCATATGATCTCTGGTTTGTTTACATGATTTTCTCTGTTTGCTAAGGAATAAGGAACATGTATCAGCTTCCTGTAACCAAGCTGGACACCATCAGAAAATCACGAAAGAAAGTGAAGGGGATTTTATCAGATATTGGTCTGGATTGTTGTGAAGAATTTTTGGAGGTACAGTACACCTGAAAAAGTAAAGGAACAAGAATATTATTTTCATAGATGATTTTCTTAAGGCAAATTATGAATAAGTAGTTGAAGAAGCTGGAATTAATATTTTTAGATATCACTATTTTTGTTAACTTGTTGGGTGAATGTTATTTTAGTCCATTCTGGTTGCACCCACTGAAAGGGTAGGCAGGTGACTGGAATTGGACATCATGATATCAGCTGGTTGAGAACATTAATATGAGATTGTTTGCTGAATCCCCTGTTCGTCGTTTTCCTTATTTAGCCTAATGCTCGTATTCTTGTTTGTGCGTAATAAAAAGAGAAAATTGCTATAAAACGAGTGCATTTTAATTTGCGTATGTTGGCAGTGGATGATGTGTTACAGGAATGCGTCAAGCTGGTCCTTTAAGAGATAAGAGAAAAGACATATAAAATGGTTTGTTAACAAAATATTAATACCTAAAAAAAATTTCAGCTTCTATTCGTTCAACTATTTATTCTTAAGAAATTCAACTATGAAAATAAATAACTAATTAAATCTCTGCATGTCAATTTTTTTCAAAAAAAGACTTGATCAGTTTTGGCTCAGAAATTGTTAACTGGACAACGTTAGTGGATGCATTATAAGAACTGTTGGAATACTCTCAATGGTCATAAGATGTAGTCAGCATGACTTTAAAAGCAATTAGTCATACTTCATGAATCTGTATGCTATTGAACTGGTGGGTGAGAGCTTTTCAATGAATTACGTTGGATTTTTTAAAGTTCCAAAGTAAGAAGGTTAAAGATCATTGAAATAATAGCGTACTTGATTTGAATAGAATATTGAATAAAATATCAAATATTTACATTTGATCGAACACTGGTTATCTGATGGATGATAAATAGAAAAAGATCAGCATGGGGGAATGTGCTGGTGAAAGTCTGAGGGTCTGTTCTGGATACCATTTCATAAATTGATATCATATCATAAATTGCTCAGTAGAGAGAATTTATACAACAACTTCATAGAATCATTGAATCATATTGCCATTCAGCCCATGGTGCCTGTGCCGCCTCTTTGAAAGAGCTACCAACTAGTCCCAATCCCTTGCTCTTACTCTGTAGCCCTGCAAATATTTCTTTTTTCGATTAACTATACAATTCCTTTTTGAAAGCCATCATTGAATCTGCTTCCACCAACCTTTCAGGCAGTGCATTCCAGACCACAACAAATTTCTGGGTAAACCATTTTTCCCTCTGGTTCTTTTGCCAATTATCTTAAATCTGTGTCGCCTGGTTACCGACCCACCCGCCAGAGGAAACCATTTCTCCATATCTAGTCTTTATCAGATGCCTCATAATTTTGAACACCTCTATTAAATCTCCCCTTAACCTTCTCTGCTCTAAGGAGAATAATCACAGCCTCTCTAAATCTCCACATAATTGTAATCCCTCATCCCTGGTATAATTCTTGTAAATCTCCTCTGCATTCTCTCCCAAGGCCCTGACACCCTTAAGTATGGTGCCCATAATTGGACCCAGTACTCCAGCTGAGTCCTAACCAGTGATTTGTAAAGGTTCAATGTAACTTCCTTGCTTTTATACTCTATGCTTCTATTTATATAGCCAAGGATTCCATATGCTTTTTTTAACATCTTTGTCAATTTGATCTGCCATCTTCAAAGATTTCTGTATGTGAACACCAGATCTCTCTAATCTGCACCCGCTTTAAAATTGTACCATTTATCTTTTACATCCTCTCCTCATTCTTCGCTCCAAAATGCATCACTTCACACTTTTCAGAAACTTAAAAGAATCCCACAGATCCTATGTTTTCAATTGTGACTCTATAGCTTAATAATGATCATCTCAAATGGAAATATCGGCTCAGCATATGGAGGCCCCTACAGAGAACGCTCAACAAAACCGAAACAGATTTATCCATTATTGCAAAACTAGCTCTGAACTTCTTCAACACAGATATGACTTACAAGGCACTGAGGTTTTCTTTTACTTTCATTAAACAAGTAATCCACTTCCCACTTACACTGACATCCTCTATTTTCCATATCTATATTGAGTTTCCTATTGAGACTCATAGTTCTATAGTTTTAGAATTGCAAAATACTCCTGCTGCTGCTATGTCTCACCAGGTTGCATGAGGCAGCACGAAATGTGACAAGGAGGATACCTCATGTTCCACCCCTCTTCCTGTCACTCTCCACACTGCCTCATGGAAACTGACCAGAAGAGAGGCGCAGCTGGGAGGTAAAACAGTGAAGTCTGAAATGGTTTGTGGGCCCGGCAAAATCATATGCCAGGCTGAGTCATTAAGCAGATGTAGGTTTGAAATTTGAGATGTACAGAAAACTAGCGATTAAGAAGGAATTATTTTCTCCTGGAAAAAATATGCAGAATATAGATGCACAGAATAAAGCTGGTCAGGTGACATGATTGCTTCTGTGCTAGCAGGGCCATAGAGAATGTTATAATAATAATCCTCACATTTGATATGGCGCCTTATGACGTCTTTGAGACGTCTCAAAGCAATTCCCAGAATATGATGTAAAGTGGAGTGACTGTATATTTTGTGGGAGAAATGCGGCAGCCAATTGCAAACAGCAGTGTCCCAAAACAGTTGTGGATTGAGTGATCAAATTAATATTTATTTATTTTTTGAAGGGATTATTATCCCCGGGAAAACAATCCGTGAAAATATCTTTCAAATGCCTCATGAGGCTCCTTTCTAATACTAGCAATATATGTACTTAGTTCTCCTGCTATAGATCATAATCAGCTGTTTGCTTATGAATGATTCATATTCTAAGCTTGCAAGCTGCCTTTCAGGCAAAATGTAAAATTGGATACATATACAGTGATTCCAAAGGCACAAAATGCTTGGTTCGGTTTATTGTAGTCGAACTATCAATTGCAGTGCTTATTTATTAAAATGGAAAAAGGTGACTAAGCCTCAGGTGCCAGTGGCTAAGCAATCTGGACAAGTGTAATAGTTGGATCCTGCCGTCTGGCAGGGGTTACATTTGGGGAGAAACATCATGTCTAATGTTTACTTAGCAGTAAGTAGGAATCCGGTTGTTAGTTGATTGGCAGATCACTTTTCCGGCGGTAATAATCCCTCAGAAAAAGTGCTTCAATAATAATTTGGTCACTCAATCCACAGCTGTTTGTGGGACACTGTTGTGTGCAATTGGCTACCGGGTTTCGACCACAAAATACACAGTCATTCTACTTTACAATATATTCTGTGAAGCGCTTTGAGACGTCTCGAAGACGTAATAAGGCCCTATATCAAATGCAAGGATTATTATTACATAATCAAAGCATAGAAAGGATCCTCTGTTCATTCCCTATTAATATGCAAAAAATTTTACGTATAAAGTTTGTAACTCTCAAAGTGCACTGGTTGTGTGTGGAGTGGTTATTTGTTAGAAGTGCATCAAACTTAAGTTATGAACTTGTGCTGCTTGTTCTCTGAATTTGAAACCTCTTTGCTTGTACAGACTTTGAAGTAATATGACAGCAAAGCATGTAGTCAAGATGGAAATTGTCCCTTTGATGTTTTTTTCGAACATTTAACTAGAGCAATGTCATCTTACAAATTTTTGAAGTGCAAAGTTAAACATTTCCTATTACTTACAGGAATGGAAAAGTACGAATCCAGTAGAATGCAACATGAACATCACATCGTGGACAGATATTTCAGTATGGCAGCCAAGTAAGAAATTGGAGGTAGGCTTTAAGTGTCGGCCTGAGACCTTGTTCAACCTACTTTAGTTATTGTTCTTCCAATAGTATGAGGACTATAAAATCCTGGACCAATGACTGCCAAAGCACTGTCCCCTTAAAGACCGATAGTCAAAATTAATATTTTTTGTCTGCTCAAAGATGATTGATTTAAAGAATCTACGTAGTTTCATAATTCTACTATTTAGCACATGGATTATAAACCAAATACTGAGTTTCTTTTGGGCAAAGAATATGCGTCTTACTAGGTTGCTTGAAGAAGTGTTTCACTTTGTTATTACATATTTTCTGGCCGGAGTCTCTCCACTTTGCATTCTGCCTTTTATCCTTCAATATACAGCTTAAGATTTATCTCTTTAACCACGTTTTCAACATCTTCCCCATACTCAAGCTCCCAGTCAGTTGTGTGAAGCATTTTAAGATGTCTCCCCAGCATGAAAGGCACTTATGTAAATGTTGTGTTATGGTACCAGCATGCAATTCTATTTTTTGTTGGAAAGTTTGAAAATATACTGGTGGGTGGGGGAAAGAAAGAAGGAGAGGAGATTTTTATCTTTTTGAGGTACACTGACGGGGCTAAAAACAATAATGGCCACAGATGGTATCAAGGATACCCTGTTATTTGTTATACTTTGCCTTCTAAAATAATGTCTGTTTTCTGTAGAAAGCCTGTGTATATGATTTTGTGTTGAAAATAAGCCGCTTTCTTCAAGCGCGAAATAAATTTTAAAAAAAGTATCGCCTTGGCAACACACAGTCTGCGACCTAGGTGGTCATTGATACATAAAGGAGGAAAAAGGGTCACAGGGATGGGGGAAAGGTGGGGGGAAACCCAGTGCTACATTTTATGGGAATACTGAAATTTGGCAGGGAATATATCTGTAAAAGAGCTGGAGCTAATGCTCTAAAAGGAGAGGGTTTGTTAGATTCGGGGTCGCATTTTGCCTTAGTGTCATCTCTGTTTCCTCAAGGCACAAGTGCGAGCTGCCGAACGTGCCTGGACCAACTCCAAACTAATGGTCCATCGGCAGATCTGTCTTCACCACACCCAAGACCTACCGCTGACCCCTCAGGCCGCTGAAACTCTTGTTCATGCCTTCTTCATCTCTAGGCTTGACTATGCAAACATCATATGCTTGTTGGCCTTCCCAACTCCTCCCTCCACAGGCTGCAGATAATCCAGAACTCTGCAGCCCGTATCCTCTCCCGCACCAAACTCCGTGACCCCATCTCCCCCATTCTCACCCGACTCCATTGGTTCCCTATCCTTCAGAGGATCCAGTTCAAAATCCTGTTCCTCACCTACAAAGCACCCCACCCTATCTATGTGACCTCCTAACACCCTAACAACCCGCCCGCTCCCTCTGCTCAGCCGGCTCTGGCCTGCTTCACGTCCCCCGACACACCCGCCCCACCTTTTCTGGAACTCCATTCCCCAATCACTCTGCCTCGCTCCCTCCATGGCCTCCTTCAAGTCCCGCCTCAAAACCATCCACTTCGACCATGCCATCGGTTACCCCCCTCCCCTCCTTTTCCTCCCCTGACCCCAGTTCGGGTCTGAAATGCTGTACACTGTCTAACGCCCTGGGACGTCCTCCCGACGTGAAAGGTGCTATACAAATGTAATCTTGTTGGCGTTGTGTGTCATCAAGAAGGAGTTGGGAGGCGTTCCTCCAGGTCATGATTTTTTTTAGTTTACTAACTTGAGATGAAGCTGCTAGTGTTGTGTGTGTGTGTATATTATTTATATATATATATATATATATATAGTTAAGGTGTCAGGGTTTTTCTATTTCTTAATGTTGCGACCGTTAATATATTATTGGATAGTATTTGTCAAGCTTAAGGCTGTTAGAGCCAATAAAACACCATTGTGTTTTCTTGAAAGTGCTTCTCGAGTCTCTGTTAAATTCAAGTATGTGAAGGAGACACACGCATTACAGGTTAAAGTCTGTTAGTGCAAAGGATACTGACTGAAACATCCCATTGTTGAGCTATAATGCATTGGGATAATCTGTAGTGTTAATTCTCATGTAGTGAAATTTCACATAGCGCAGGAACTTGCATGTCAGAAGGATCTACACAGAGACTTACATATCGCGGGTATTGTCACGGTCACCCGTTTTGCTTTCTATAATAATAATAATAATAATCCTTGCATTTGATATAGCGCTTTTCACGTCTTCTAGACGTCCCAAAGCGCTTCACAGAATATACTGTAAAGTGAATTGAGTGTATATTTGTGGGCGAATGCGGCAGCCAATTGCGCACAGCAATGTCCCACAAACAGTCATGCCGGTCTGCTGTTTAAATATATTGAGTACTGCTTTAAATACACTTTTTATGCATTTAGCGTTTTTGATACTTATGGTGCCATCAAACCTGACCCTAGCGTTGATTGCAACAATTTGGAGGGTAACTTAGCATTCCAATATGCAAAAGAAGGATTGGACGTGTACTTGTCCTTTATTGGGCAGCTGAGGGGAGGATCTTATGGGACCATAAAAAAGGCACCAATTACTTCAAGTAATTGGTGCAATACAATTACCATTGGGTACCCTAATTTGGGGAGGGGCTCAATGCCCATAAAAGAACGAGTGCCATGTGCTCATGGTCACCATTTTTCTATCTGAAGACGGCAAAGGTTTGTGCTCTGACTATTAATTAGTAGCCAGAGGTTGGTTTTTCGTGCACTTTTACATTAACTTCGTTACAAGTGGCTGCTTGTGTGTAGTTTAAGTGTGATTAATGTTTGTTATCTCATAGTTGTATTTGTTGATATTTATTGTGTCGTTTAAGATTTAATACCAAGGGTTGTGGATTTCACCCAAGTTATAATAAAATTCCGTTGAGCTACTTAACAGTGTTTAACTTGAGTTTTCTATGTAAATCAAAGAAGGAGGGAATACACAAACAGGTTCAGCCTAGGTCACAGTGGTGTAAAATAAACCTCTAACTGACTGTAGCTTCCGAATTTGCATGAACTTGAATTGCAATTGGTAGCACTTGTCGTCATGGAAAAACTCATTAGTCAAGTTACACCTAGTTATAGGGACTTGCATTCATTAGTGAGGATTGAAGACAGGCCACCCGGTACACTGCGAGGGACAGCGAGCCATATCGTGGGTGGACATATAAGTGTGATAGAACCGACTCAGTATACATTTAGGAGTGAAAACTGTCGCAGTGATTACTGATTAAAGGTGGTTTACTAAAGAAAATCAGTTGGGACTGTTCCAGGGTGTTGTTGACAGAAGGTGGTTGTTTAATAGGATTGGTTACTTTAACAGGTTTGGCTAAATTTGTAAGATGGAATGTGTTGCGACAAGTAAGTGAAAACAGGATCATAGTGGAATGAGATAATGTCATAAACTGCAAGATTGAGTGGTTTCTCTATGCCATCTCAGCTCGAGGGATTGAAATATTTTGTAGATGAATATCCTATGTACATAAGAGCCTTGAATTTTATCAAAATGTATTGTCCATTCTGAGGAATTCATTTTTTCATTGGGTGTCCACCCAAGAAAGTCTAGTCTGTTCTGTGCATCGTATGAGTTGGTTTATTCTATTTTGAGCAGTATTTTGTGACAGATGGCGGACTCCTTAGTTTGAGTATGTGACACGTGCTGCACTGATCCTATTTCATCCCACTGTTATAAGGATAGCATAAATTCTTGCATTTGATATAGCACCTTAGGAAGATGTCTCACAGTGTTTGACAGGATTTACTGCAAAGTACAGTGACTATTTTGTAAATTAATATAATAATATTCCTTGCATTTGATATAGCGCCTTATCACAGCTTCGAGACGACTAAAAGCTCTTCATAGAATATATTGTGAAATAAATTGATTATATCTTATGGGTGAAAAACGGCAGCCAATTGCGCCCCACAGTATCCCACAAACAGCTGTGGATTGAGTGATGCAAGTGAGAGGACCTTGGTTCGATTCCCAGGCAGGGTGAAAAGTTGGGCAAGTTTGCTTACTCCACATGCCTCTTCACCTAGCAGTAAGTAGGAACCTGGTTGTTAGTTGATTGGCAGATCGCTTTTCCAGGGTAATAATCCCTTCCAACAAAATTAAATAAATAATAATAATAATTTGGTCACTCAAAATATACAGTCACTTATCTTTACAGTGTATTCTGTGAAGCGCTTTGAAACATCTCAAAGACGTGATAATGCGCTATATCAAATGCAAGGATTATTATTGGTCTGGAATGGATTGAGTACTCTCTTCCATTGAAGGGATGTGTTCTGCTCACCTGATTCTGCAAAGTATTGGATACAGGTTGGCAACATCCAGGTCTTGGTAATTCCAAAGTGTGTGTTGGTATATTGCTGGAATTTAACAAGCTTAAACTGTGCAGCTTGCCATTGTAAACGCTAACTGACGACATTAATTAAGGATGTCGTAGTGGGATACTTACAGGATCACAATATGATGAGACAGAGTCAACAGGGCTTTACAAAAGGGAAGTCAGGCTTAACAAATCTTTCAGATTTTTTTGAGGACATATCAATTAGATTAGATAGGGGGGAATCAGTGGATGTAGTGAATTTACATTTCGAAAAGGCATTCGATAAGGTGCCGCATAAAAGGTTCATTCACAAGATTAGGGCCCATGGAATTAAGGGCAATATATTAGCATGAATTGAAGAATGGCTAACGGGAAGAAAACAAAGAGTAGGGATAAACGGGTCCTTCTCAGATTGATGGGATATCGCTAGTGGAGTGCCACAAGGATCAGTGCTTGGGCCTCAACTATTTACAATCTACATCAACGATCTAGATGAGGACATCGAACTTAATATATCCAAATTCGCGGATGACACTAAACTAGGAGGGAGAGTAAACACAGAGGATGACATTAAAAAATGCAACGAGATATAGATAGGCTAGGTGAGTGGGCAAATAGGTGGCAGATGGAATATAATGTAGGGGAGTGTGAAGTCATCCACCTAGGTGGCAAAAACAGTAGAAGATTATTTTTTAGAAGGGGGGAGACTAGATAGTGTTAGCATTCAGAGGGACTTGGGTGTCCTTGTACACCAGTCACAAAACGTTAGTTTGCAGGTACAGCAAGCAATTAGGAAGTCTAACGGTATGTTGGCATTTGTTACAAAAGGAGTAGAATATAAGAGTAGGGAAGTATTGTTACAACTGTAGAGGGCCCTGGTGAGACTGCATCTAGAATATTGTGTGCCGTTTTGGTGTCCTTATTTAAGAAAGGATGTACTCGCCTTGGAGGGGGTACAACATAGATTCACTAGGTCGGTACCAGGGATGAGGGGCGCGAGTTATGAGGATAGGTTGAGCAACTTAGGTCTATATTCTCTAGAATACAGAAGAATGAGAATAGAAACCTATAAGATTATTAAGGATAGTGGGAGACTTTTTCCCCTGGTTGGAAAAACTATAACCAGGGGTCACAGTCTTAAAATTAGGGGTAAGCCCTTTCGCACTGAGTTGAGGAAAAATTTCTTCACTCATAGGGTAGTGAATTTATGGAATTCTCTACGCCAAAGGACTGTAGATGCTCAGTCCTTGAACATATTGAGATTGATAGATTTCTTGTGAATAAAGGGATTAAGGGATATGGGGATAAGGCAGGTTGGTGGAGTTAGAATAGATCAGCCATGATCTTATTGAATGGCGGCGCAGGCTAGAGGGGCCGAATGGCCTACTCCTGCTCCTAATTCTTATGTTCTTGTTTCCATTAAACTTCTGAATTTAAGTTTGTGAATTTTCTGGGTGTTCAAAAGGACACCCCTCCCCACCCCCCACCCATCTTCCCACAATTGAATATGCCATTGTCCAATATTCTTTGTGAAAACAGAAAATTTGCAGAATAATAAGCAATTTTGTAATTTATAAATGTATGACTACTAATTGAAATGAGGATGAGTAACATTGAGGAGGCCATTCAACTCATTAAGCCTAAAATGGTGCAAACTCCCCCCCCCCCCCCCCGTAAAGTCATGCGCCTGTGTATATTTTGTGGGAGAATGTGGCAGCCAATTTGCACATAGCAGTGTCCCACAAACAGCTATGGAGTGAGTGAACAATTTTATTTGGGGAATTGTTGGCTAGGACACTGGGAGAAACTCCCTGCAATTTTCAAATGGTGCCAAGGGATCTTTAACGTCTACCTGAACAGGCAGATTGCATTCCAATTTAATGTCTCATTGAAAGGATGGCACCTCCCACAACTCCCCTATCACAGCACTGGAGTGTCAGCATAAACTATATGGATTCCAAGTGCTGACGAGCCTGAATCCACAACCTTCTGAGTCAGGCGAGAGTGCTACCAACTGAGGCAGCCTGACTCAAAAATGGGATGGCTTTACTTTGTGTTTTCGGCCCTTGTGGATTATGGAAGTTGGGAGGGTTGAACGAATCGTAATGGCTTTGAATCTGTCTGACACCACTGTGGTGTTATTGGTTACTTATTTTTAAACTCCCATGTTTTGGATTGGTATAAGCCATGCCCCACAAGTGGTGCATCACATACGCCACTCGTGAATAGTCGTTTTTTAACCAAAGCTGGCAAATGTCTCTAGTGCTTCACCTGGAGTGTGCTTGAGAAATCATTCCAATGGCTGAGAGCTGTACTCTGTATTGAGGATGACAGTCTTGTAATACTATAGTTGGGAAGCCATGTTCCTCTTATGATAAAAGAATGCAGTGCATCTTTCTAACTAAAAAAGCTTAGTCTTTGTACCAACCAGCATTTCTTGTGGAAAAGTGAAGAGGGATAAAGTGTTGTTTTCTCAGATGTTAAGGTTCAGTGGAACTGTTTTTCTGCAGATATGAACAGTCGGGTAATTCTCTATATTTTTTCTTTGCAGAGTTATCGAACAAAACCATATTGCTGCAGTCTGTGCGCTTTTTCAACAACATTTATTTCTGCTTACAAGAGTCATATGCGATGTTCCCATGAAGATGAAATGGATGTGGAAATGATGATTGGCTGCCCTAATTGTCCATTTGTCTCCTATCCTAAGAATATGAAGAAACACATCAGGATGTTCCATTCAGAGCCTCGGAAAGCACATGTCACCAACATAAATACAGATCAAGTGAGCCCGGTGCAACCCAAGATCTTGCAAGGAAAAATGTCAAACCTGGTGAAACCAGTTTATTTTTGCAGGGTTTGTCATTACAAAAACGTTTCCATGTATGCCTTAAAGAAACATGTTTTTCTATCACATTTTGGAACTTTAGTAAATGCTTACATTGGGGAGGTAGAGCCAAAGCTTGTGTCAAAAGATAAGATCCCTGTGGTGCACAAGCAAAAATCATTTTACCTGAATAAGTATTTTTGTAAAGGATGCAAAATAAAAATGATCACCTATGAGGCCTTAATATATCACATTTTAGATAGGCATAAAAAAGTGGACCATCAGGTAAAAGCTGTAATTGGACATGTATCAGAGCTGAGGACTGTGCCACCCATTGCTCCCAAGCCTTTGATGGACCAAGCTTCTGTAGCGGCATTGCCCAGTGCTGGACCATCTGTACAACCGTTCAAAGCACCTCCTATTGTCAGGCCTCCGGATCAAACACAGCCCAGTGTCGGACCTCCTGTACCACTGGTTCAAACACCGTCTAGTGTCAGACCACCTACACCATCAGTTCAAGCACTGCCCATTACCGGGCCCCCTGTACCACTGGTTCAAGTACTCTCCAGGGCAGGACCACCTGTACCACTGGTTCCAGCATCGCACATTGTCAAACCACCTGTACTACCGGTTCAAGCTCCACCCTGTGCTGGACTACCTGTGACACTAGTTCACGCACTCCCCAGTGTTGGCCCACCTTTACCACAGGTTCACGTACCGCCCAGCATCAAACCATCTGCACCACCAGTTCAAGCACTGCTTAGTGCTGGACCACCAGTGTCGTCAGTTCAAGCTCCTCTCAATGTCAGACAACCAATGCCAGCAGCGCCCATTGTCAGACCAGTACCGTCCAGTGTCTTAACGGTATCAGCACCTCTTGATATCAGATCAATGGCGCCAACTCTTTTCAGTGTCAGTCCAGCAGTACCGGCAACCCCCAGTATTGGGCCGTCCTTATCGGGAGTGCCTAGTGTGCAATCAACGACAGTAGCATCCCCCATGACATCGTCTGTACCTGCATCTTTGCAACAGGCCATTAATATGATGGCACTTAAACCAGTAACTGTGGGGTCTTTTCTGCCCAATGTGAACCACTTTCCTTCACAAAATAATACGATTCCCGTAACTATATCCACCACTGGTCCAGTGGGTGCTCCAAACGCAACACAGGTCAATCTTCTGTCAGCTTTCCAGAATAACCTTACAATCAGAACAGTTGGTCCAGTCCTTCCTCAGGCAATTTTGGTTCCACCAGGATTAACCTTAGACCCAACGATGAGAGCCAGTGTTCCAGGAAATGTTGCATCAACCACTTCACAGGCATTGAGACAATTAATCCAAACCACCAGCCATGTAAATGGTGTACCCACTTATACTCTAACTCCAGTTCAGTTTTCTTTGCCTGTTTCCTCAGCTGGTATGACAGGTGGAACGCCTGGTATGAATTCTACAGTACAGGTACCAATGACTGTCACTCAAACAAATGCAATGACATCTGTGTCTCCTCAGCAAATAAAAGAACCCTCCCCTGAGATGACATTTGCATTTCCCCCGGTGCAGGAGCAGCAAAGTGAAGATTGCGTCAATCCACCCAAAACTCAGCAATGGAAGAGTTGCTCAGAATGTAGTGAATTGGTTCCATTAAATCTGTTTGATAGCCATGTTGCAGTGGCCCATAATGCTGAGAAAATTTCTAACAAACCTGACAAAGTTGTTGCTTCTGCTAGTTACTTGCAAAGAGTGCGTGCTCAAATAGGCAAGTGCCTGTTCTGTAAAAGCTATGTGCATAAAAATGTACTTCTCTCTCACTTACTAACACATGGTCTGAGTTGCCTGTTCTGTGCATTGACATTCCATGATCTTGCGCAATTGGCTGAACACATGAAAAGTTTGCACGCTGGACTGAAATTTGAATCTGTTCATTATATTAAAGATGGAGTGCCAACATCCAGCCAAATCAATGGCGGCAGTTTTAACATGACAATTACTTTGCCAGAAGATAAAATGGGTCCCAATGACATTCACTTGACACTTATTCCAAATAAGATGTCTTCTCCTCATGCCCCCTTACTAATTGAAATTTGTAGAGAAAAAAATGAAGCAACTATTGTGAAAAACACTCCTACAGAAGAAAAACCTGATATAAAATGTTCCTTTTGTTCAAAATTGATTTTAGAGTCGAAATATGAAAAGCACTTACATGAAAATCACCAAGTAGCACCCATGATCCACCCACTGCTGAAAATACCAGCCTTCAAGTGCATTCACTGCCTTGGTGTGTACACAGATAGCATGACAGCCTCAACAATATCTCTTCATCTGTTACATTGTAGAGGCCTGAATAAACAACCTATTTTGCCAAAAAGTGTTGTTCAGTCAAAGCGTGAGGTTCCAGACATTGAGAAGAATTACACGACTGAGATTTTAAACACAGAAAGTGAAGATCTGGAATTGCCTCCTTCCAAAAGATTAAAAGTTGATGTGGGGGCATCTAATCATCAACTATCTCCTACATCAGTGATTGACACTGACCCTAATTCACAGTCTTTGCCATTACCCGACCCATCTACAGTCTTAGCTTTGGTTCCCAAAGACTTTGAGAATTGTTCATATGAAGAAAGAAAGTTATTCTTGCTTGACTACTTTCACAAGCGACCTTACCCTAGCAATGAAGAGGTTGAAATGTTATCTTCAATTTTATGGCTGTGGAAGGCTGATGTTGCTCTTATGTTCAGCAAAAAGCAACATCTGTGCTTGAGAGCTATAAAGAGACGCAAACCTTTGGTGCTTTTGGGGTTCAATATGTCTGAAATGAGAAATGTAAAGCACAGTATAACACTGGGTGAGATTTGATATTAAAAACTAGTTTCAATAAGTTTATGTTGGAATCTATCAAGTACAGTAGAAATGAAAAAACAGGAGAAAGAGTCCACTAGTAATATGCGTTGTAGCAAATTCAGGACTAATTCAAGAAGCTTTCTATACTGGTAGACGATCATTAAAGTGGAAGAGAAATGGTGCAAAATAACCGTTTTGTTTTTAAAATCGATCTGTGCCTTTGTGTACTAAAGTTTGGTTATTTTCTGTGATTAAAACAGCAGAGCAAGAAAAAATTATTAAACCAGGATGGAAATATTTAACGTGAATCCCATTTAAACCAAAAATTGTAGAATATTTAAAAATTGCCCTGTTTTATTGTCCAATTGTTTGGTATTTTGGAGAAACATGTAACCTTTTATATATATCTAAGAAGAAAACGTTGATGGTACAAAGTAGTTGATTAGACATTTTTACAGTCAATATGTTGGAGTAATTTATTCTCATATTATTGTGTTGTTGGTTCCACCAAATCAAATGTTCAGTTATCTGTTGTGCTCTGCATTGTTATTTGTCTGAAATAAATTTTTTCCTTTATCCCTTCCTCCCCCCCACCCATGCACAAAAAGCCTTCGATTTTGAGTACAGGAAAGTGACAAAGGTACTGCAGATTGATGCGACAATATATTTGCGGCATTGTTTTCTCCCCCTCTTTACATGAGATTAGTTGTTTACTTAGCTGTTGATTAATGTTGGTTTAGCTGAGTCAATTATAAGAGATGGTGCATATTCCTAGTCTTTTACTATTTGGAAGGTCCATCATTTATAACACCCCCTTATGATTTTGTGGTCATTACTAATCACTGATACAAGGGAAAGCAAAATTGGTTAAGGCAGCTTGATAAATTGGAATATTTGTATATTGCTGAAAACATTTTGTCCAAAATGATGTGGATTTGTGTTTCCATTTTTAAAAAAAATGCATCTACTCACTTTCATTTCCTCGTATCTGGATTACAATGCATATTCCTACTAATCTAAGACAATACAGACCCTACATGTTTAGTCATATACTGTTGCCTCAAAAATTTGCTTCTGCTAAACATTGTATCTGGTAAAATTCAATTTGGAACATTTTGCCCTAACTACCACATTTAAGTTTTCTTAAAATGCTCAAAACTATTACACATTGCAAAAGCACAGCAGACCATCAGCATCAAATAAAAAAATATTAATATTTCATCTACCATTTCAGTTTATAATGCCATTTCACTATTTATTTTGTGTACATCAATCTCTAATTTTAATGTTTTTTTTGTTAGCATCACACTTGGATTCTGACCAGAAGGCTGCAATTTAAAGTGGTAAGGCTGCTTGTAACAGTCATTTAAAATTGGGTGAGATTGGTCGCTTCTGAGTGAGGGTTGCTCAAGAGATTACTCCATTTGTAGATATGTTTTGTATCTAGTTTCGAGGAAAGCCTGACACATGTGATTGATCCCTGCTGGATTCACTTCTCGAGGCTCATTGGAGATGGATTCGTAGTAATCATGGAGTTAAGCACATGCCACAATGCTCTTGATGGAGCAGGACGTATACTGCTGAGTGACCTATAATGGGAGGGAAGAGTATAATAATGATGTAATGTGGCATCTAAGATATTGGCCCCAGATGACAATTGTTAAAATTAGGTTACACTGTATTTTATTGTCTGATGTGATGCCAATTTGGCATCCTTTTTAAATGTTACATTCTATCATCATTTGATTTACGGAAAAGATTGTGTTGGACGGAAATTAAATACAGAATTGCTGCCAGATGTGTGTAAAAATAAATGTACTTGTGTTCACTATTTTGCTTGTATAATACTAAATATTCAGTCCCTTCACATGGAAATGTGTTTTCCTGCATTATTTCATTGTCTGCCTATGAAACTTTTTATGCACCTATTAATAAATGTGTGCAATCTGGATTGATGTTCTTCCTTTTCCTAGCAGATATCGTAAATTTCATGTGTTGGTGATTGTTGGCAAGAAGTTATTTTCTAAAACTTCTTAGGGCGTCCCACTTAAATCAACTGACAATCTGGCTCATCAGTTTTAATACAGGTAGGATTATCAGTAGGTATATTTGTTTGTTAGGGATGGGGGGGGGGGGTGTCAGATGAGACAATAATCTATTAGTTGGGGGCCTTCAGTGCACTATGATGGGCGAGTGGTTTATGGGAAATTTGAAGGAAATCCCCAAAAAGTGGTTTGACTAGCATTAGTCCAATTCTATTTTTTTCCAATTTGTCACAATAAAGTGGAAGTTCTGTATTTTAAATTTGTATCTTTGAAACTTTGTCAACAGATGTACTTTTGTTTAATATTTCTATAACATGCTGTACTGCACCTATCAGTTTCAAGATTTTGATTAAATCTTGGATGTGTTTTCCCCACTGAAACCCTTATTTATCTTATTTATCAAATGAAATTGTATAGAAGGCAAGCTACTGTTGAACAATCAACAGTACGTATTAGGTTATAGTTTGGACTGCTCTACCTGTTTTTAAAATTTTAGAGCAATGAATCAGATTGGCAAAGATACATGGTTTTGTAAAATTGTAAAAAATTCACTTTGAACGTAGGTCCCTTAAAGGACATAAAACAATAGTCGTTTTACTTTAAAAGGAAAGCAGCAACATTAAGGGCCGTTAAAATATTTTTTTAATCCACAAAATAAAACCTGGTGTCAGCCTGGCTCAGCTGGTAGCAACTGAGTTAGAAGATTGTGGGTTGGTACTGACGCTCTAGTGCAGTGTTGGGGAGTCCTGCTGCATTGTCGGAATTGCTGTCCTTGAATAAGACATTAAGTCAAGGTTACATCTGCCTGTTCAGGTTGATGTTAAAAATTCCTGGGCACCATTCAAAAAGAGAAAAGAGTTTCATCTTTTGAACAGTCCCTTAGATAAAAATAGTCATTCTCTTCATGGCTACATGTGGGACTATGCTGTGTTCAATTGGTTGCTACAGTCCCCTACATAATAGTTACTACACTCTACAGTACTCATATATTCTGCTTTTAGATGTGTTAAAGTACTATATCAAGTACAAGGATTATTATTATAACCTGATTATTTTTCCAGTTTTTTGGGAATCTAATCAGGACAGACCTCATTGCAGATAAGATCAGACAAATACAAATTGGCCACGATGCTAACTAAATCATTGTTCCACCAAGAATTATGCTGCTACTATAATACTTTCCTACCCTCTGACTACCCGCCCCCCCACCACCGTCTCTCACGCACACACATACACTCGAGTCTAAATATTCTGCTTCTGACTTTTTCTACAATTACGCTGCAGCAAAAAAATCCAATTTAGCGCATCCCTTGTGAGGCTACTACAGAGGCTTAGCAACTTTGTTCATGTGCACAACTCAATTCACGATGTGCTCGCATTCCTAGAAACTGATGCAAGTGCACCACAGAAAACAATGGCTGATTTGTTTTTTTAGGGCAAGTTCAGAGATTTTTTTNAACAATTTGACTCACCAAAATGCATATATTTATTGGCAAATTGGTTAAAAACTGACTTTAATGGTTCTTAAACAATTTTTAAATGGGTTGTGCAAATAGTTCAATTTTAGTTTGACAGAATTTGATATTGCACTAGCTTTGTTACCTAATTGGACATATTTGCATTTTAGACCAACCACATATTGCTGAACAGTTTGTGTCCCTCCAGCAACTGAATCATAACTTAAGCAGGTTAAGTGAGCATTTGTTCTTAACTACTAATTTCTGGTTCATCATAGTTGTATTTTTGGAATGAAATTGCAACTTCCATGTTGTGTGATTTCCTGTTTGGTTTTGCTTTACGTGATGTAATTATTTGTACATAGTAATACAAACTACCTTTTTTAAGATAAAAATGATCTGTGTTGTGATTTGCTTTCCAAAGGGACCTTTTCACTTACATGGTACAATGTCGTAAGGCGCTGAATTATACTTACAAGGGTGTTTTGCGGTCTTTTTATATTTATAAGCAGCTGCATTATAGTTAAATACAAAAAAAGGACCTAAACAATAATCTTTGGCATTTATTTCCCTATTGTATTGTATTGACTTGAGCTTGAAACTCCAATGTAGTGCTGGGTTGTATTGTAATGTCGGAGGCACCATCCTTTGGATGAAACGTTGAACTGAGATCCTGTCTGCCTGTTCAGGTGGACATTAAAAATCCCTTGGCACTATTCGAAAATAGAAGTTTCTCCTGATGTACTAGCCAATAAATCCTCTCCAAAAAATTGGTCATTCTATGACTGTTCAAGAGACATTGTTGTGGGCAAATTGGCTGACGTGTTTTGCTCAATCCACTATACAGTATAATCCTGTGAAGTGCTTTGAGATGTTTCAACGATGTGATAATGCTCTATATCAATTTGCAAGAATAATTATTATTATCATCTGCAAACTTTTAGATTTATTTCTCCATTCCTAGGTCCAAATCATTTATGTACAGGGGTTTCAAGTATTGGCCCTGAGGAACACTACTTACCACATTTATTTAATATCCAGCTTCTTGGGACATCCTCCCAATGTGAAAGGATGCAATGCAATTTGTTGTTGAATAATTGCCCTTACCCCCAACTCTTTGGTTTCTCCCTGTAGACACTTCTCTATTCATTCAGTCTTCCCTTTGATCACATATGCCCGGATCTCAGTCATAAGTCATTCGTGTGGTACCGTGCAGCCCTTGACACCGTTGACCACTCAATCCTCATCCACCACCTCACCTCAACCTTCATTGTTCTTTCCTTGAATGGTTCAGATTGTGCCGCTCACACCATCTCCACAAACGCTTTCTCCTCTAGCCCCCACATCGTCTTGTCCGGCGTTCTTGTCTGTCAGACATCAAGTCCTGGATGAGAGCTAACTTTCTTCAGTTGAACGTCAACAAGACTGAGGCTCTCCTGATTGGCTCCCGTCAGCGCCGCCAAACCTCCGGCGCTGACAGCATCACCATCCATGGTTGCACCAAGCTCCCGCTCCATCCACTCAGCAAGCTCCAGCCTGCTTCATGTCCTCTGCCTCGCCTGCCCCACCATTGGTGGTCAGGCCTTCTGACACTCTGCCCCCACCCTCTGGAACTCCATCCCATAGTCCCTCTGCCTCACTCCCCCCCCCCCCCCCGTGCCTCCGTCAAGACCTCCACTTCGACTGTGCTTTCGATCACATTGCTTGCCTCCCTGCCCTCCACCCTACCCAATCCCGACAACCAGCTTGGGCCAAAACTGACTGTCCAGAGCCTTGGGACGTCCTCCCGACGTTAAAGACGCTATACAAATGTAATTTTGTTATTGTTGTTGTCGAAAGCCAACTCTGATAAGTAGTCATTTGAGCTATTTCCCTTGGGATGGCGAGTTATCACTGTACCTTATAAAACTATGGCCCTTAGTCACTAACAATCACATTTCTGACATGAAGCTAAGAGAACCTGTGTGAAGGCAAATGTATAAAATTCCACATGAAACTTGGCAGAAAGAAAAACCAGTGGAAAAAAAACAGTAATTGCATTTTGCATGATACAGGACATTAATACCAACTGATAACCTATCTATTAGTAATAATAATAATCCTTGCATTTGATATAGCGCTTTTCACGTCTGCTAGATGTCGCAAAGCGCTTCACAGAATATGCTGTAAAGTGAATTGATTATATATTTGTGGGTGAAATGCAGCAGCCAATTGCGCACAGCAGTGTCCCACAAACAGTCGTGGATTGAAATGACCAATTTATTATTTTTTTTGAGGGATTATTATCAGGCGTGTGGAGTAAGGAAACTTGCCCAAGGTTTCACCCTGCCGGGAATCAAACCCAGGTCTCTCGCTGACCAGGCAAGTGCTCTAACCACTGAGCTACAGGACTCCACTATTGGTTTGGATTTGCACAATACAGACTTTCTTAATTTAGAAAAATGAGTTACTATCCTGAGCAGGTTTATTCAATGTGGTTTAAATTTATACATCCTAAGACATTCCCTGTGACAATATAATTATTTAATAAAATCCCACCTGTTCTAAATGAAGGGATTATAGAAGGGATGTAGACGCACTGGAGAGGGTGCAAAGGAGATTCACAAGAATGATCCCAGAACTGAGAGGTTACATCTATCAGGAAAGGCTGAACATGCTTGGACTCTTTTGAAAAGAGGAGGTTAAGGGATGACCTGATAGGTCTTTAAAATTATGAAAGGTTTTGATAGGGTAGACATGGGGAAGATGTTTCCACTTATGGGGGAGACCAAAACCAGGGGCCATCAGAGAGTAGTGGGAATGTGGAACATGCTACCACAAGGAGTTGTTGAGGCAAATAGCATAGATGTATTTAAGGGAAAGCTAGATTAGGAGAGATGAGGGAGAAAAGAATAGAAGGTTTTGCTTGAAGGCTTAGTTGAGGAAGGGTAGGAGGAGTCTCACAGGTGAAACCTTACAGCATATTCTGTGAAGTGCTTTGAGACGTCTAGAAGACGTGAAAAGCGCTATAATCAATTGCAAGGATTATTATTACTATGTGGAGCATAAACACCGGCATAGATCAGAATGGCCTGTTTCTGTGCTGTATATTCTAATGTATTCTAATGTATGAGAAGCAATACAGTGATTTGAAAGTGCTCTCAACTCAGGAAACAAAGGTCTTGTGCCTTGGCAAGTGTAGCATCAGAGAATAGTACTTCAATGTTGCGAATCAAACTGCTAATAAAAGTTCAAAAGGTAAAATGTAGTCTAAAGTACTCTATGCCATTGAACAGCAAAACCTAGTAAGAATATGCATCATTAGAATTGGTAACACTGTGAACACCAGTTTAATATTTTCCAACACAAAAACTATTCATTTACAAAATTCAGTGATAAATATACTAACAAATAGTTTAAAAAGATATGTGTTTTAGTGCTGGTAATTAGGCATGCAATTGTTGTCCTCTCGAGTTTGCAGTATTTAAAATAACTATTGAAGTTTAATTTTAAAGGCAAAAAAGGCACATATTTGAAGAAAGTGCAAAGTAATTACTTGGCATTTAGCAGGAATACTGTACAACAAAATCAAACACCAGTCTTTTAGATAAGACATGGAATCTTCAACTGCATAGTTATCAAAATAGCACGTGAATCTACCTTTTACTAATGTAAACATATAAATCAGTAGACGATTAAGAAATCTGCCTTTTTCTTATGTTCATATATTTACCATTAGCATTTAAGCAGCATTACTTTTACCTGAAATTATCCAAAGTAATTTCCCACAGTTAGAATGTTAGACTGCAAGGAACAGTAAACATTGCCCAATTTCATGAAAGATTTTGATGTTGAATCCGTATTGCTCACTATACCCAGAAATGTTAGGCAATTGTAACCCATTCTTTGTACTGCTTCATTCTTGTGACTGTGAATGTTCTGCTGGAAAGTAGTCTTCTGTTTTAAAGAGAGATGCAGGTTCATACTTTCGCTGCTGTTTTTTTGGAGAGGATGATTTCTGCAAGAAAAAAAAAGCAGATCAAATGGAATGGAAAACAGATGATGATCTAAATATCACAGTCTCTACACCATATAATACTTGGATTTTGAGGATGGGATTTTTCTTTTAAAAGTTTATCAATCCGTTTGTAAACTTTAGAAAAATGTGATTAACCCCATACACCACCTACGGAGTATTTTGATTGGGAAATGTCACAAACTCACAATGAGTACCAGGAAGGTAAGTATAGAATGATAACAAGCTCATTGCTTCAACAGATAATCCATAATCTGGTCCATCATGCATGTCATTAGCACTCTTGCATCTGAATCAGAAGGTTATGGGTTCAAAATGTTCTGCAATGGTGTCTCCCTACTTTTGCTAATTGTAAAATAAAGCAGAACTGAAGAGTACCTATCTACTAACCTTCCATTCTACTTTTGACCTCCCACGTCTGTCCTAAAAATGTTCTGCGTTTCATTTATTCCCAACAATGTTGCCCTGGGAGAGTGAGCAATTCCATTTTAACAATCTATCTCTGGAATTTCCATGTATAGGCGGGATGCATGGAACTCATTTGGTTTGGATAACCTTAAGTGTGGTGATGAGTTTTGCATGACCCCCAAAAAATCCTGGCATGAACCTGCAGTCTGCAAATTGACTCGGAAACACGGAATTCAAATCTTGTCTGAAAGTAAGCAGTTCGAGAACAACTGGCCAACAAGAGAAGATTGTAAAAGTATTACTACAAAACAACATGGTCCGAAACTGAACGAGAGATGCGAGGGTATAGAAATACAGCTGATGCAAGAGAGGAAAACAAAAGTGAATGACATATCTATTCTGTAACAGTATCTGTACAGTTCTGCAAAGCTCAGAATTCATACAAGATTGAAGCGAACCTACTCCTATAGTTCAATCTGCATTTCATACTAGATTCAGAATGCATGCCGTGTGTCATTAGCACCACAAAATGTTGTGCAAGGCAGTAGGATGTTGTCACCAGGCATTTTCCTAGCAGTCTGGTGGTCCATTCATTAGCGTCACCATTGGCAACATTACTGCAAGTCAGCAGACTCATCAAATCCAGTTTGAAAAGGGGAAGTAAATAGAAAAGCTCTGCTCATCTTATAAATAACCACCCTGTGAATATGATTTATAATTTAGTGAAGTTCAATTGAAAACGATTTCATGTAAAATCATCGATTTTTCAAAATAAGGTATAGACTTCATGAAAACAGATCTCAACAATTTCATCAATGAGAACTTGCAAATATTTGAAGCAATTTCCAACCTTGGTGCCTTAATCTGTTTGTGTACCAGTGTAAATAGACGGTAACAGATTTCTCTCAAATTAGAAGGCAGTAACCCAACTATAGGGCTCATGGTTTAAACAGTAACTGATAGCAATAGTTATGTACTTAGGCATACACGAGTACACCATCTTGTTACCCCTAGTAGCATAAAACGCAATGAAAAAGGGACATTTAGTCTTCAGCTCAATGTGCGCAAAACTGAGGCCCTCCTGATTGGCTCGCGTCAGCGCCTCCGCACCTCAGGCGCTGACAGCATCAGCATCCAAGGCTGCACTCTCCACCTCTCAAAGCCAGTCAGGAACCTCGGCGTTTTGTTCGACCCTGAGCTGTCCTTTCTCCCTCACATCCGCACCACAACTGGCACCGCCTTCCATCACCTCCGGAACATCACCAGACTACGGCACTACCTCACCCCTCACGCTGCTGAAACCCTGATCCACGCCTTTATCACCTCAAGGCTGGACTATGGGAACTCTCTCCTCGCCGGCCTTCCCGCCACCTCCCTCCACAAGCTGCAGGTCATTCAGAACTCTGCAGCTCGTGTACTGTCCCATTCACGGCCTTGCTCCTTCCTACCTCTCCGACCTACTATCCCCCTACCTGCCCGTACCCTCCGTTCCTCTGGCTCCGGTCTGCTCCGCATCCCCCGCCCCAACCGCCCTACCATCGGTGGTCGGGCCCTCAGCCTCTCAGCCCCGAGGCTCTGGAACTCTATCCCCCAGTGCCTTCGCCTCCTTCTTCAAGGCCGGCCTCAAGACCTTTCTCTTTGACCGAGCCTTCAGCTCCCCTCTCGACTCTCTACCCCCTCCTCCCTCCCTTCCCTCCCCTCACCCTGACCATTTCCCCCCTGCTCGGGTACCGACCCAACTGTCCAGCGCCTTGGGATGTAAAAGGCGCTCCTTAAATGCAATCTTGTTGTTGTTGGTCAATCAAACATTGAGAGAGTTGAGTCCCTAGGTCTTTGTTACGGTGCTCTGGTTTCCTGCTCAGCGGCCTCAAATGTCTAGTCAGAAACTCATGCAATTCTTATCTGTAAAAATCAATTGATAACTGATTTTGCCCTTGATGAGGGTCAATATCTGAAGCTGCACAAGGAAACAACTGTGACCAAGGAAACAACTGTGAACCTCTGCAGTTGCACAGACTGCACAGGTGTATCAGAACACAGGATTGCTAAACTGGAACAAAATAGATTAAATTGCCACATGGTCATTGTAATCCTTTTGTTTTGAACAGCTTAATTTGGGAGATAGTTGATCTATAGCAATAATCACATTAGGTACTTGGGCACAACCTCAAAATAAAAGAAACAGTATTGTTCAAGGGGCTTTAAAGATTCAAAAGGAATGTTTCTTCCCCCACCCACATTTAATTTTTAAAATTTAAAACAGCTAAAATTGCTCATATATCTCCAACCAATCTGGCTTCCCTCAGAGAAGTTAGAATCAGTGACATGACAGTCAGACTATTGTATCTGTCACTATCTTGTGCGCACTAAGTGAAGCAGCGACAGACTGCCTGAAACAGAAAGAGGCAGATGCAGTCTACTCACCAGTTTACATTAGTAAATTCCATTTACATTAGTAAATTCCATTAGTAAATTCCAAGGAATTAGAAACACCATTCAATAAATAGATAGTGTGCAGCGTTGAATGCAGCGCTTCGTCCATTTACAAAAAAAATTCAGCAGGAAAAACTCACATTAAGGAACGATTGAGCGCTAAATGAGTGCAATATTTTTTTGAATGCATTTGGAAACATCCCCAGTTCAGCTTCTGCTTGTGTTACTTGCTCATCAAGGGCACCTACGTTCTGTCCTATCATTTTCACAAAGACCTGTAAAAGTAGATTAAAATAATTTGGTTAAGGATCTGAAACACACAGAATACCGACTACCCTTTTAAAGAGAACATAAAAATTGCTTCAGCAAGTACCCTTATCATCACATTTTACGTCAATTCAAAGGTTTCTATATTAATAATAATCCTTAGATTTGATATAGAGCCTCATCACATCTTGGAGACGTCTCAAAGAGCTTCACTGAATACACTGTAATGTGAATTGACTATATTTTGTGGATGAAACGCGGCAGCCAATTGCACACAGCAGTATCCCACAAACGATCGTGGATTGAAGTGACCAATTTTTTTTTGAAGGAATTATTACCCCCAGAAAAGCGATACGCCAGTCGACTAACAACCAGGCTCCTACTTACTACTAGGTAAACAGAGGGGTGTGGAGTAACGAAACTTGCCCTACGTTTCGCCCTGACGGGAATTGAATCCCCTATCTCTCACTTGCAAGCCAAGGGCTCTAACTATTGAGCTACAGGAGTTTGTGCTAAACTTGTCATTTTACAGTGACCAAAAGTGTGACTGTTTATTAAGTCTGACAAGGACCATAAGGTCAATCCAATGGTAATAACCACATGAACGGTTAAAGCTGGGGAGCAGCTGTTTTTTCTGAATGGAATCACAGTTGTGGCTTTCATTGTGTGAACTCAGCTTATTTACCATTTAGTCACTAACTTTCAACTAGCAGTTGAAAAATGTAATCTTCCAATTTCTGAAGGTAAAATGCTGTAAAAACAGAATTAAAGCATAGAGATCCAAGCTATTTAATTTTTTNACCAATCTGGGAAGAAATAATATTTTTCAGGTCAGACAACAGCAATTCTCAACACTGATCAAACTAAAACTAGGATCATTAGTGCTGTGTCACAGGTGACTGAAGTACGATGACTTTTCTAGCTCTTTCTGTATCTAGTACTGATCAGGAAATTGGCGAAATAAATGAAAGAAGAAAGTCACATTCAATACAGAACCAATTCACACCAGACGCATTCACTTCTCATTTCAAATCCAATAAGATTGCGCCACTGTCTGCCGCAAAAATGAGGATTATACAAACTAAATTACAAAAGGCTATTCATCCAACAGTCGTGTCAAACCAAAGTAAAACACACAGCTCATTTGATTTCTAATAAATTTACATTCCTTGGCTGCAGTAAAGTTCCCTCAGATTGGGTTGTTTGAAAACTTGTTCTTTTTGCTACTGTTACAGTGATCGTACAAGTTAAGAAATGTTATGTGATCAGTACCACAAAGAACAAGAGACAATTTAGCTCATGTACAAAATACCATCGTTACTTCTGCAATCTCCTGAGAGAAAGTCATACTTTACTGCTGATCACCAAAACTTTATCAGATCAGCAACTGACAAAATATCCCCAAAAGATAAATTTGGGATAACATAATAAAACCTGAACTCGGACATACATGGCCTTTAAGCCTGAAATGCTTTCTGCTGCCATGTCAACCACTGTGCCAGGATTTCTCTCTTAATTCCCTTCCATCCTCACATGACCTACCTGCTGCTAATTCCTCCGAATTTAACAGCCACTGCACTCAAACAAGCAAACACCACTCACACTGGTGGAATTTCCTCTCGCAAGAAGAGAGCAAACAAAGAGGATCCCAAGAGGTAGTGGGAAGGAGCAGAACAGTAAAAACAGAAACAGAGCAAGTCTTATAACACGAGAATACAAATGCTGCAGTAAGAAAATATTATAAAGCTTCAAATGCTAGTCACCCCTAATGTGCGACTGGAGATATACCCCATATACAGCATCTCTGATTTATAGTGATTTTCTGTTTAGTAATATATTCTTCACTCAACATTAAATTTGAGGGAACAACGGGACTCTGGAATGTAAACGTGAAAGCATCATAGAATGAATGTGCTTTTTCAAGCACAATAATGATCAACTAAAATATGCCAGGACTGTGCCCAAGACTGTTTTGTAAACTAAATCTCAGGAGCCTCGAATGACATTTATAAACTGTTTGAGGTAAAAGGCATCGGAATCCTGCTTTAGGTGACAGAATTGCAAGTCACTACTATTTATCCCTTCCTCCAGAAGGTGGACACATTAGGAAAAGACAAACAAATATTGCTTTTGCTCCAGTAGAGTCGCAGTATGTAGGCAACAAATGTTGCACAGAACAGACATAGTTTGGCTGGCGGTGCAGTTTACTACTGTTCAGAGGATTGGTATTGAAGTAAGATTAATGGAAAAAACATTCCATTTTGTCACACGTTTGGGAAAAGGCACTAGATTTTAAAATTATTTTAATACCTGTATTGAACTAGCCTCCTGGTGGATGCAAATAATGCCATGAGAGGCATTAATTGAATCTTTAGATAAGTGAATCAGATTACGCTGCTGACTGTGAACAATATGGAGCCAATGGAAAGACAGGCATCTCTTGGACAAGATCCAAATGAGAGATTTTTAACCATTTTACCCTCTAGTTTCCAGCGATTACTTCCTTTAAAACTGCTGACAAATATATCAGTTTTCTATAATCAGCGGAAAAAACAAAATATCTTTATTTGGAACAGATCAAAAGGTTCTATAATTGTTTGATCAAGGGCTTCCTCGCTAGGGATTGGGAGGGAAGGGAGAAGGAAATTTGGATTCCAATCCCTGCATTCGTGGAAAACCTTGGGTTAAAGATTCCAGTGAGTATTTATACACAATTATAATAGGAAATCCCATTAGGGGACCCAAAACACCAAAGGCAATGAATCTAACACTCTATGGAATTGTTCCCCACAGTTCAGAGAAGGATCATTCTCTGATACTTTAATCCTCCTGACACTCTCAATATAGGCTCATTCGTGAATAACTGTGGGGCGACAGAGTGATTTGATACCAGCACTTGTGGAACTGCACTCAACTGCCTGTTCCTTTTGGAGGAGAATTTTTTTTGGCAAAGTGCAACAATTTTGAATATTTTACTGAAGTGTTTCGCCCACAAATATACAATCAATTCACTTTACAGTATATTCTGTGAAGCCCTTTGGGACGTCTAGAAGACATGAAAAGTGCTAGATCAAATGCAAGGATTATTATTATATATATCAGTGTACAAACACTCAGCAGATTACTCAAATACTCAAACTTATGTATATAAGTGCTCCATCTGGTGGCTAATCTTAAAGCTAGTGAAACTCAGCCACCAAAAAAAGCTCGAGCAGTGGTTGAGAATTTGATTAAAATGTGCCCTCCATTACTGGGGTCAGCAAACTAGTGATTGAAGCAACACTTTTGGGGAGATAAGAAAAAGCCTTTACACCCAACTGACCAAGTACTCAATGTCCTGACAATGGATGTCAATGGTGTGGGGGGCGGAGGGGGGAGAGGGGGGCGGGGAACTGTGGAATTGGCTCCTCTTGAATAATTTCTTAAAAAAAGTAATAAATTGGTCACTCAATCCACGAGTTGCTGTGCGCAATTGTCTGCCTCGTTTCACCTACAAAATATACAGCCACTACACTTTATAGTACATCCTGTGAAGCGCTTTGAGACGTCTCGAAGACGGGATAAGACTCTGTATCAAATGCAAGGATTATTATTATTATCTGAGACTATTTAATTCTGAAGCACAGAAAGGTTTATACCTCCTACTACTTTGACACCCCAACTCCCCTTGTGGTGCCCATAGTCTTGCTGGCGGGGGTAATAGCCTGTTTCTTTTTAACTACAAAAGAGCCTGGGATAGCCCCGCTTACCAACAGTGTAAAGCAGTCTTCCAGTCAGAGCAAGGAGCTCTACTTTAGAGACACACAGAAACGTAAAGAATAGACAGGAAAGCAAATAAGGCTGACCATCTGGAGCAGGGATAGCCAACTCGTGGCTCATGGGCCACATTACACATGCGTACAATAGTCACAGCTTGTTAGCCGCAAATTGGCCATCCCTGATCTAAAGGTCTTCCTTCCTAAATCAGATGAATACAATTGCAGTAAACCATCGGTGATCAAAGCTAGACTCCAGTAGTACCCCAACACACACTAAAACCTTGGCTTTGGCCAACCTGCGTTTAATACTCCCCGGAATTAGGTGAACAGGATCTCTCCCTCCAGGAAGAGAGTGTGCATTCCATTCCAATAAATATCTCTGGAATTTCCATGTGTAGGTGGAACGCAGACAATTCTGTTGGCTTTGGAGACTCTTAGGCATGGTGATAGATTTCCGCATGTGTCAGACACTTGGCTGACCAAAATAAAAAGGAAATCAACAGCAACAACAACTTGGATTTATATAGTGCCCTCCACGCCGGACGGCTTCTCAGAGCGCTTTACAGTAACGGATCCCAAGGCCGAGCCAGGGAGAGGGGGGGGAAGGTGGCCAAAGGCGCGGCTGAAAAGAGAGGTCTTCAGCCGAGACCTGAAAATAGGAAGAGAGGGGCTGAGGCGAAGGGAGTGAGGAAGGGAGTTGCAGAGCCTCGGGGCATAGTGGCTGAAGTCACGGCCTCCGAGGGTTGAGCTTGGGGGACAAGAAGGAGGCCAGACCCGGAGGAACGAAGGCAAAAGGTGCTGTTTTGAGGAGAGAGGTCAGAGAGGTAGGGGGGTGCAGAGGAGTGGAGGGATTTGAAGACAAGAGTGAGGATCTTGAAGGCGATCCTCTCTGGGACAGGCAGCCAATGCAGTCTGGCAAGGACGGGTAAACAGGGAGCGGAGTTTGTTGCGGGTTAAAATGCAGGCGGCAAAGTTTTGTATAATCTGGATTTTATGGATGGTAGTGGATGGGAGACCGGCGAGGAGAATGTTTGAATAGTCCAGCCGATAGGTGACAAATGCACGGACCAGGGTTTCAGGGGCTTTCGGAGAGAGGTACTGGCGGAGATGGGCAATATGTCGGAGGTGGAAGAAAGCGGTGCTAGTGGGGGACCGGATGTGGGGGAGGAAGGATAATTGGGGGTTGAACCTGACGCCAAGGTTGCGTACGGGTTCGGAGAGTTTTAGGGGGAGGTCGGGTAGGTTGAGGAGGTGAGCCCAGGTCACAGATAAAGAGGATGTCATTTGTGACTTTCACAAGCGCAGTCTCTGTACTGTGGGCGGAAACCAGACTGGAGAGGTTCGAAGAGGGAGTTGGAGGAGGTGTGTGCGAAGTTGATTGGCAACAACGTGTTCTAGGACTTTTGTGAGGAAGGGCAGGTTAGAAATAGGACGGTAGTCACTGGGGTTTGAGGGATCTGGGGAAGGTTTTTTTGAGGAGGGGGTGATGACAGCAGTTTTGAGGGGAGCAGGGACTGATCTGGAGGCACATTGGCGCGTTTCCCCGCCCAACCTACCCACATTGGGCGCGATCCCCGCCCAACCTACCCACATTGGGCGCGATCCCCGCCCAACCTACCCACATTGGGCGCGATCCCCGCCCAACCTACCCACATTGGGCGGGATCCCCGCCCAACCTACCCACATTGGGGGGATCCCCGCCCAACCTACCCACATTGGGCGGGATCCCCGCCCAACCTACCCACATTGGGCGGGATCCCGCCAACCTACCCACATTGGGCGGGATCCCCGCCCAACCTACCCACATTGGGCGCGTTCCCCGCCCAACCTACCCACATTGGGCGGGATCCCCGCCCAACCTACCCACATTGGGCGGGATCCCCGCCCAACCTACCCACATTGGGCGGGATCCCCGCCCAACCTACCCACATTGGCGG